AAAAAGAATATGCTTTTCAATATGGTAACAATAATTTTCATACAATATCAGATTTTAAGAGCATAACATAAGAATAATAAAACAGACATAAGTTAATATAGTATTTGAGCATTGCCACTGACAGTTTCTTACTTTTTCTTTTTTAGTGAACTCTTCACATTTCCCATTAAATCCCAACACAATTTAGTGTAAAAGCATAAAAGCAAATTTTTTTTTTCTAAGTGTTGCAAGGTGGGAAGCCACTAGGACACAAGGGGTTACAGAAGATTTGGAGCAAGATCAGATAGAAGTGATAGAGGAAAGGATGAGTAGAAGGATAGTGGATAGATCAAGGCAACTGGAGATATCGATTGACATTACATTTGAATAGTTGGAGATTATAGCTCTCAGGGAAACTGGAATAGGGAAGGGAGTTCCACAGGCAAGAGGTGCGAAGCTATTGGAGTAGAAGAGACAGCTACATTTAATAGTTTTGACAGTGAAAGGGTGAGAGCGGGATGCCAGCCTCGTAGGGCGCTTGAATTCACCAAGTCTGGGAACCAGCAAATGCAGCTCCTCGGAGCAATTACCATGAAAGTATTTGTAAAACAGACAGAGAGGGGCAACGGGGCATCTGTGAGAGAGCGACTGTATACTTGATGCCTTAACAGGGCCAATTATGTTGCATATTTGCCTCTGGATCTTATCAAGAATCCCGAAGCAAACAGAAGGGGCTCCAGACCATATATAGCAGCAATACTCCATGCAAGGGCGAATTGTTGATTTGTAGATCTGAAGGATTGATTCCAGGGAGAAAAATTTCCTGGTGTGGCACAGGGAGCCAACTTTCCTTGCGGTGGACGAAGCAATTGACTCAATGTATTTATTCCATCTCAGGTCAGTAGACAACGTGAGACTGAGCAGCCGCAGAGAGGCGCTCTTGCAAAGTTGAGCATCAGACATTCTAATGGGGGGCAGGGAAGGATCTCTGTGGTGATTAATAGAGAGCAGTTTTGTTTTTGAGACATTAAAGTTGACCAGCCAATTCCTGCCCCAGTTCACAACCGATTGGAGGTCCTTTTTGAGACGCACGGCCAGGTTAAATATAAGAACATTTAATAGTTTATATTAAAATATTTCAGATTTTATTAATTAGTTGGCCCAAATTTTAAATACATTTATATTTATATGAACAATAATTTGTGTCACTTTTTACTTATGATATTGATCATTATTAGAAATATTGATAATAACTTGTTTGGGGAGGTATCAGGTTTTGCTATGATGACAATTTTTATTTCTAAATAAATGCAACAGAAAAATATATTTGATTAAAAACAATATTACTTCATTATATTACATATAATATTGGCTCCTTGATGACATTCAATAACATTCATCAATCCTTCAATCATTGATTTTATTAACATTTCTATTGTTTTGACTTTTGACAATATTTGCAGCAGTTTTTATTGCTTCCCACAGATTTTTTGAATATTTTTTCCCATCCTTATTTTAATGATAGATCAAATGTTCTTTAGTGGATTAATATCTGGAGGAGCTGGGTTCTATTCTTATAATATGATGTTTTTAAAGCTTTTTTAGGCAAGGTTGAGAATAGTAAACTTTGCAGAATGTGCAGTAGCTTAATCTTATATCAATATACCCTTTACCTTAAAAGTTCTTGCTTTTGACTTGTACCACTCAAAAAGAATTTGTTTCAAAGAACTTATAATAATTCTCACCATTTATCTTAACACCAACATCAATTTTGAAACTAGCTACAAACATTACTGCACCTAATTGGTGTTGTTTTGGAAATCAATTTGGTTGTCTATTTTCATAAAGGAACCAAACTCTAGATAAGCCATTGGGTCCATAAAATGTATCTACATTTATCAGTAGAATTATTATTAGCAAATCAGTTTTCATGGACTACTTCACCCACTTTACACATTTTTCTTTGTGATGCTTACTTAAAAGCGTTTGCAGTTTCCAATATTTACTTCCCCACTAAATAACTTTACAATATTTTATTTCTCTTTTAAGTTTATATCCTTCTTAAAACTCATAATAATCTTTATATATCAAAAATGAAAAATAGGTATGAATAATTATATGATTAAATATATACATTTACAATATAATGGACAATTCATGAGTTGCATTATAAAATCTTACACTGTCATATAAGTTCTCATAATTATTTTAAATAAAAACATTATAAAGCTGAAATTCCCATGGTGTATTTATCTTACAAATATAAGTATATCCTGAAAATATTACCAACTACTATTGGTTAATACTAATTTTATTGTTACACCATAAATACGTACATACATGCATACATATATATATATATATATATATATATAGATAGATAGATAGATAGATAGATAGATAGATATTGTACATTTAGTAAGCAATCACTCATTTTTACATGTTTCATTAAAGACAATAGATGAGGTACTGTGATTAAGCTTTTTATTTAATATTTTCTTGTATTCAGACAAGTGTTTTTTTTCTGGACACAGAGTATTTAGAAACTGTCTAAATCATCTATAATTCCAAGTGCTTTTGGCTATACTTTTAGCCATTATCAAGGTTGATTTCATTTTTACTTTTTAACTGGATGTATGGGTTGTGTGCATGTATCTAGAGTTATAGGGATGTTTTATTTTCCGAACACAGTCAGCACATTATGGCCATGCTTGTAGTTAAAATTATTGAGTGTTGGCTTTTTCTTTTTATTAAGGCTTCCATTATTTTTAATCTTTTTTATGTGTAGATGAGGTTATTATGCTTTTAATTTCTACTAGTATGTTTTGGATGGAGTTTGGTAGATTTTTGTGTGTGTTTAAATGGGTTCTAATGGAGGTGTGGTTGGATAGGTGTAATGTAAGGTGTCTGGATAGGTATGTAGTAATGTGACCAAAGTAAATATTTGGTTTGATCAGAAACATAGTACCTTAAGGGGCATTTGAACTCATAAATAATGTTCATTCTTTGTAGTTTTGATTTTGCAGGTGTGTTGTTATTTTTGAGGATAAGGTTAGCTGTTTTAAATTTTTTGTAGTAGATAATTAATTTTTTGTTCAGGTCAAATGGAGTAGTGAATTTCTTTATGATATTTCTAAGTGAAAATTCATCTTGTTTATAGTTGACAGGCATTTAGCTTTTTTAGAAAATATTTATGTTATTTTTGTCTGTATGTTCAGTATTGTTATTATTTACCTTAGAAAGAAATAGTCTAATCAGGTGGTCAATGAGGTAGTTAGGAAAACCATTGTTAACTAGTGTCTGTTTTGCATTGTTGAGTTCTTTAAGGAAAAGTAGTCGAGAAGATGAATTCTTGTGTGCTCCCTTTAGGAAGTTTTTTTATCACTGCTATTTTGTATTTGAGTGGGTATTCACTCTTAAAATTAAGGTCACAAGAGTTTGTGCTAGTGGGTTTTTATACAAAGTGTTGTTACTGTATTCTACAAGAATGTCTAAGAATGTGAGTTTATTTTTTGACTAAGTTCATAGGTAAAGTTCAGAGTTTTTTTCAAGTGTTGTTTTGAGAATATATATTTCTTTAGTGGTTTTCACTAAAATAATAATATCATCTATGTAGTGGAGAAATATTTTAGGTTTACAGACCTGTTTAAATATCATGTTTTTTACATGGAACATGTAATAATTGAAGAAGAACAGACCAAGTGGATTTCTCATACTAACACCATTAGTTTGGGTGTAGATGTTGCCATTATGGTCATAGAAGAGGACTATGGTTGTGCATGCATGTAATCATTTTTTGAGGATAGTTAGTTTCATGGATGGAGGTAGGACAGAATTATTTTTTGTACATGAAGTTAAGGATAATGTCTATGGTTTGATGAAAGGGGAAACTTGTGAATAAATTGTTTAAAATTTTCATTTATCTGTTTTGGATAAGACTTGTTTTTATGTCCATCGTTTTCGTCGTGTTATACTGATTATGTTAATTGTATTTTTAATGAATATTGTCCTGAAGAAGGTTATTAAACCGAAACGTCAGACGTCGACATTTCATTCATATTAAAACAACATAATCGCATTTTAAGGATTTTTGTATTGTTTTTCCAGATATTTTCTTCATATATATATATATATATATATATATATATATATATATATATATATACACACACAGAAGTTAGTCTTAAAGATTGAAGAGTTTATATATATATATATATATATATTATAACATTTAGACTTAAATGGGTACTTGTTTTCTACAAAAACAATTTTGATGTATAGGCACTGTAGCAGCAAATCATTAATTAAACTGATCACTTAAGAAGAGGTTTGGTATTAATTACTTAAGTTCTGTAAGTGTTCTGTAATACTGGATTAAGAGATAAGTAAGTAAACAAAGTGATTATGTCTATTATATTCCATTTCCATCATCAAGAAGTGTAGAAATATATTTTCTAAAATCAGTAACTTGATTTTGTCTTGACTAAGATAGGTATTCAGGTAGGTATCTAGACTGTAAAGATACAGTTTATATATCTATCCTATTATTTATAAATACAAAGTGATTTGTTTTTAATAAAAATAAAGAAATATTAGAAAATAAAGAAAGTCATTTTTACTATAGTCATCCATTCAATAGAAATGCAAAATCAATAAAACTAAGGTCCAAAATTAATTTTTTTTATATCATTAGGAGTTGAAAAATTAATTTTATTTACAATATTAATATAAGCTGAAAAAAAAACAGTAATTTGTATTCACTTTAGTTAGAATATATATCTCCATCAATTCAGTCATCATTGCTACCATAATAATAATAACTAAAAAATAAATCTGTGTTCACTGAAAAGAGCAAGCAACAAATAAAAAGATCTTAAAAAAAATGTTTGTTTTTCAAAAAATTATATAAATCACAAAACAATGAAAGTGAAAATTAAAAAGTAAGAGAGAAAAACATATAGAAAAACACAGATAAAGAAAGAGAAATGTGAGACTAAAATAAAATAAAAAAAATAACTGACTTTATATTTGCTTCAAAAGAAAAAAGAGATATAGAAATACAAAGAAGAAGAAAGAGTTCAAGAGAAAAAGTGAAAAATAAGCAAGAATGGAAATGAGGTAATACAAGTGTAAAATAAAGATTGAATGAAGAAGAAAAAATAAAGACCATCAAAGGGTCAGAAACAGAATGCGTGAGAAAGTAAATGAAAGTAAAAGAGTGTGTAGCAAAGAAAGGAAGAAAGAAGACTGAAATAAAGAGAGATAGATAGAAATGCCATAACATAAATGTTTCCCCAAAAGATAAACCTAATGAAGAAACACCAACTTGCAGATGCAGGAATTAAGTGGTGTTAGCTGAAATAAATTGAACAACTGAACTGCCTGCCTAAAATAGTAGGAAACATCATCAAAAATGACAACTCATTGCTATAAGTGGGCGGATCTATTAATTCCTTATACTGATTGCATAAATTGTGAGTGATACTCAGTGATACATTAAAGATTTTCTAAGGATCATGTTGGAATCAAGAGAACGAGCACTAAAGACATCTATTCAGTGTTTTTTTCTCCCATTAACCAATAACTTAAACTTAATGCAAATTAGTGTAATCACAATTTGCAAAGCAGGCACAAAATATACAAGTGGAAGCAATAAAACATTCCATTTTCCACTATGACTACAGCTATTGTCAAGAATAGCAACAACTGTTTTCTGAGTTTTTAATACAAAAATAATATGATATATTGATTCATTTGGACCAGTATCTCCATCTTTGTTGTTTATGTCATGGTATTTTGGTTCCTCACTTTTATTGTTGATCAAATCAAAAATTCATTTGATATTCCTTGAAGGTTATTGAATATGAAAAATTCCCAAGGAAAGGTCAATAAAAACAAAGATGACGAGACTGGTTTGAATGAATCAAAGGATAATAAAAACAAATGTGTTTCTTGATAAATGTGAATTTGTTCAATTTTAAGCCTAAAAATCCTTACAGGGAAAGCATGGGGTCATAACATCACTTCAGAGATAGAATACCAGAGTTCAAAACTAAGATAAAATTACTTTCTCTGCCACAGGGAACGCCTGCACTAAAGAATAGGTATCAGTAGTCATACCAATGCCAATGTCACCAATGGTTGTAGGGACTGGGCAATTTTTGTCCTTGGCTAGGTGTATGCACTCGGGTTCCCCATGTTAAACCTGACCTTGTGTGACATACTATCTCAGTGGGAAGACCAGGGTAAATACCTACTTTCTACTCAAATTAATGGGTTTTGTTTCTAATGACTAAAACATTTAAATTTCACTTAATTATTTACCCCCACTTTTGAAATTCTCTTTGTATTTTTAGTTCTTTTTACATTGTTCTCCAAATAATCTTCAAGATTTTTATGAACACTAAATAACTTTACTTGCAATGATCCTTGTTCCGTCATTTAATCTTAGGCTTAAATTATTAGGTGCATGTAAAATTATTAGGTGCATGCAAAAGTTTCAAGGGTAAAATGAGTTTTCAATTATGTATTCAGACTAGTTTACAAAAACATGTAATGGGAACTTTTAAACATGCATAATTATATCGTAGGATGTGTATTCATTCCTTATTAACATTTCAACTTCCCTTATATGTGTGCAAATTGCATTTGCACAAATAAACAATGTGTGAATATTATATTTTTTTAATGAATACTTCTGCTAAATTTCCTCCACCTCCAAAACAAAAAAATACTTAACAAAGTGTCTATTTATTAAAAAGTAAAACATAAAGCATATTCATATAACAAGAAACAAACAGCTCTCAAAGGAGTGTGGATAAAATAGCCATCATTTTCACCATTATTCTGAAAATTAATTACATCTACAATTGTATATTTCATGAATTAATTTACCTTTATGCTGATTTCCTTTTTTGAGACATAATAAATTGTTAAAACATTTGAAAATCAGATTTATTCAACAAAAGTTTTTGTACACATTCATAAAGTTCATGTTTTGCTTATAATATTCATGTTTTTGTAGTCATAAAGTTTCTGAAAAACTGTGAAATCAGAATTTCTAAAGTCTAAAGATAATTGCAGTATTTATATTCTGAATTTAAATGAAAGGTTTCTGAAAATTGTTTTATTATCACTTGCTCAAAAATTAGGTCATATCAAAATTTTTGGAAAGCATGTGCTAAAAGTGAGAAAATATCAATAATTATAAACAAAAATATATTTTAAAAATAAGTTATATGTTAGATGGATTTAAAAAAAATGAACTCTCTGACCTTCACTATTTAAAAATATTAATAACTCACTAATTCTATCTAAACAAACACACAAACATAAATACAAAAAATTTGCATTCACTTTTTCTCTGCTTTTCTTTTGGAAAATATTTTGAAATGCTTTGGCATTTATCATCTGTGCCTGGCTACCTTGTTGTTTTTGGTTTAGATTTGATTTGTCAGACATAAAGTATTTTCTACCTGTGAACATAAATATTTTCTTTTGATTTCTACTTGTTTCTTTTATCCTGTATATCATTAAAGAAGTCCTAAGGTAAAAAGGTAAATAAGAATAGTAATTAATTAGTATGCAAAAACTTAGAAAAGACTAACACATCACTACTCCATTGTAAGTAGGTATTAGGTTTAAACAAAATTACAGTGGAGAAAAATAAAAAAATGTTTTGCATTTTTAAGAGATTTTATATTTATATTCTATTTTTCATATTTATATTTTATATTGAAGTCAAAAGATAAATCCTTTGAACTTTTATTATTAACTAGTGTGGCTCTATTTTTTAATTTTATAATTATTGAGCATTTTATTTACAAAAATCTCCTCACCTTTAAATGTGCTAAACTCTAATCATTTACTGGTTGATATGTTTTGTTAGGCATTAACAACCTTTGTTACTATTCTATATTCTCTATATCTATACATTTTGATCATTTTTTAAAATATTTTTTATTTCTCATTTATGCAAGTAAACAAATAAGTCCATAAATGATAAAAAAACATTTCATTTAAATAGCATCTATTTATTTTTCAATATAATCTTCTTTACCCATGCACTTAATCCACTGTTAAATATTAATGACAGAGAGTGAACATTATACAGTGAAAAATTTCAGATCAAAATTCAGCTGATAAATGCATATCAGACTACTGACTTATTGACACACATTTGTATATATTAGTCATTTATTACATACTTTTTGATTTATAAATTTTACTTTGTTTTCTTTTTATGTTGGCATTAAATGATCCATAAAGGGATGAATGCTGTTAAACAAACAAACAAATCAATCAATCTTTTTGTTTATATTTAAATTTGATACTTTTACAAATTTATCTTTTCTAAAAATAGGTCTGATTTCTTCATTAACTCATGAATCAAATTCAAGTTGTATTAATTTGTTTTCTTTAAAATTATCATAACTTTCAAAAGACAATTTACATTACTTGCATTCATATTAAAAAATATATTAAATATGGATGATAACTAGTAAAAGCAGTTTATAAGTAATTTTATATGCAAATTGAAGGACAAAAATGTTCTTAAATGGTTCACAAGTACAATTAGTTAATGCCCAATCAAAACCGATTTTATACCAAAACATGCAATAAAAAGTACACATATTTTACAGTAAAAAATACAGCATATTCAAATATTTGAACTGTAATTGATACCATTTACTATAGTGATACAAGACTGAATCTAGTAGATATCTCCTGTAGTAGAATTGTTCTAGAAAATATGTATTGTTTATCAGTAAGCATATCAGCAGAGTTCTTCTGAATATATGTGTTCAGGACATCCATTAAAGTTGGAGATGGATCATACCATATTGTCTCCTGCCTTATTCTTTCAGAGAAAAGAAGTCCCTGAATCAAGCAGAGGCATCCTTTGCTGTCTGTGAGACTATATCAGGTTGCCAGGAGCATGAGGAGGTTCTTCCTCTTTTTTTTAGCTAGAACTGGATTTAAACCTGCTGCATTTTCATAATCTTCTATGAGTGGCTTGCTCATCAACTGAAGTATCAGGTAGGATGGTGCACACTCTTCTGTGAAATGGCATTTGTCACCAATTGAGGAATCAGAGCTCAAGGGTTTCTTGTCATCTTCAAAAGGAGATCATGTTTCTGTTTCTTCATAGTCAGTTGAAGTGTCCTGAGGACAGCCCCTGCTTAGGCTTGTGGGTCCTGATTCATCCCCTGCTGGAGCCAAGTCCCCTAGTGAAACTGTGTTTTCCCATTCATTAAGGTAACAGACATACTGAGGGTTGGCATCTAGAAGCTCCACTTGATCCACCAGTGGTTCATTCTTATTCAATCATGTGTAACATTTTAGTAATATCACCCCTGGTTTCAAGAGCCAAGATGGTAGGGATGCTCAAGTCGAACTTCAAGAAAACAGGAGGAATCGTTCATGGAGTGTTGCATTAGTAGATGTGCATAACAGCATTCTAATTCTAATTCTGAGAGTAATTGTTCCCAATTCTCTAAAGCTACACCTTTATCAGCAGCTGCTAGTTGAACGGTTTTCCAAATTATCCCATTATACCTCTCACACTGGCCATTACCTTGAGGGTTATATGGGATTTTCTACTTATTGCTACTCCTAGTTCTTGTAGGAATCACCATATGCATTTGGACATAAATGAAGCCCCCCTGTCCAAATGAATATACGTGGGTAGACCAAAGATGGCAAAAACTGAGCAAAGTGCTTGTATGACCATTGTAGAGGATACATTGCAAAAGGAAACCAATAATATTTCTCAATTATTGTCAGCACTTATTTGTTAGGAGTTTTTGACAGGAGCAGTCCTTTAAAATCCAGTGTAATTCTTTCATAGGGTTGCATGACTTTTACAAACTTTAGCCCAATGTCCCTGCTTTCCACATCTATAACATTTGTCCCTTGTAGCAGGACATAATGACATAATGATCTTGCATGTTTCTTGCCCAGACAGAAAAAAACATTTATGTTTAATTAATGCTGATATTTTTGGAGAACCTAGTGTTTCATAGTGTTTCGAGGATCAAAATATGTGGAGAAGTCTCTGTATCATAATTTTTAGCATTTTGTTCTGATAAATCTAGTACTCTTGCCTGGTCATAGGCCTGCTGTAATACTAACTTACTGTCTTCAAGTATTCTTTGTCATCTATCTGTTGACCATAGCCCATTTATGAAAGCATAACATATCAATTTGACTTGATATTGTTCAGCTGATACTGAAGAAAATAAACAATTCTTCCTTAGTTTTATCAAAGCTTGATAAAATCCG